AATATAAGAAAGGGTGTAAATAATTGTAAAATTTAAAAAGCAATAATTGTGATCGTATGATATTTAACTGATACAGACAGTCTCATCAAAACAGACTGGATTCACAGTTGCCCGGATATCCAGTGGATTTCAGTTACTGCTCAGATGTCCATGTGTAAATAAACATCCCTTATCAGCCTCTTTTCCATAAATCTCAGTGCGGTTGCTCTGAATGTGTGAGATGCCGGCTGTAAACAGTGTGCAAAGATAAAAACACAGAGCTACACCATTAAAGACAAAAACTGCAAAATAATCAACACAATTAGCCTTTTCAAGTTAGAGAGAAAACATAATATTACATAAATGCATGTGCATTTAATATATCTGTTCATGAAAAACAAAACGCTTCAATGCACTTAAAGACGGAGGGGCTTAATTCAGCCTATGCTAATTTAATTAAGAGACTGCATAAACATCTCAATTAGTGCATGACAACATGCATTTGCAGATATAAATACACATCTATCTATCTATCTGTAACAAGGCTGCTTTAGGCCGGGATTAAACCCGGGTCTCTGGTGCTCTAAGAGTATGAAATTACTAACTGAGCTAACTCCCCGACAGTTAAACTCAATAGCAGTAGAGCAAAAAGAGCCAAGGGATTGAGTCTTCAAAAAAATAAAAATAATCTTTACTAGAGAAACAAACAGATACAAAGTACAAAATAAACAAGGAAAGCTGCGCTTCCATCAAACAGAGGAAACAAAAAACCGACACAAGGGTCCAAAAAATAAAAGAACAATCAGATTTAACTTGAGGACAGGCAACTGGATACATGGGAAGAATAGGCTCAAGACTGAACACAATGGCAGGGAACAAACAGACTTATAAAGGGTCAATCACAGCTGTGGGGAATCAAAGCTGATGAGCAGGACACTGAACATGGTACGGGACGATGGTGCCATCTGCAGGAGCGGAGAGACGAGTTCATGATGCAAGCGCCATCTGCATTTCTGGAGGGAACATGACATAAAGGGCTCAAGGAGAGTGGCCCCTGCTGGCCAGGATAAAAACAGCAATCCAGAGATGAGCCCATTACAGGAGCCCCTCCCCTAGGAGCGGCTCCCGACGATCCCCTGATGGTCTAATCGGGCTTGGTGAAACTCTGAGATGAGAGCCTGATCCAAGATATCCCAAGCCGGAAAGCAGGTCCACTTCTCCGGGTCATAACCATCCTAGTCTACCAGGTACTGAACCCTTCCACGTACCCAGCCGCAATTCAGCAGCCTGCAGATTGTGTACACTGGCTGGCCATCAATCATGCGGGGAGCTGGGGCAGACTTACTGGCTGGAGACAAAGTGAAACAAACAACTGGTTTTAATCGAGAAACATGGAATGTGGGGTGGATTTTCATAGACCTAGGCAGGAGAAGACAAAAGGAAACCAGGTTAATCTTTCTGAGGATCTTGAATGGACCGATGTACTGTGTAGCCAGCTTACAGGATTCCACCCACAGGGGAATATCTCGGGTAGAGAGCCACACTCTTTGTCTTGGGCGAAATGTGTGTCCTACCCTCCTGCTTTGGTTAGCCGTTGGAGTCAGGCCACCCTAAATAGAGCAGCACAGGCCTTCTTCCAGGAAAATCAACAATGACGTACGAGCTGTGTGGCGGCTCGGACGTCAACATCTGGCTCCAGGAAAAAGGGGGCGGGGGTTGGAGAGGGGCGATGGGGGGCCATACACACACTCAAAGGGGACGAAAACTGTGGCCCTCGGTCAAAAACCATATCCTGAGGAAAGTCATGAATTCTGAGCATGTTTCATAAGAATTTCTGCAGTTTGGTTAGCTGTGGGTAAGAGGTGACAAGTCTTAGAAAATCTGTCCACCACCACCAGGAATATCGTGTTTCCCTGAGACTGTGGCAAGCCTGTGACAAAATCCAGGGAGATGTGAGACCCGGGACATCTCAGGATGGGGTAGTGGGTGCAGCAAGCCTTGAGGGTGGGTCCTTGGCTCCTTGTTCTGGGCACACATGGAGCAGGCAGAGACAGAGGCCCTAACGTCTCTCTGTAACTTGGGCCACCAAAACTTCCTCTGAACCAGCTTGGAGGATCTAGTCATTCTCGGGTGTCCGGAGGCGAGGGAAGCATGTGCCCACTGCAAGACCTCAGAGTGCATACGGTTAGGGACAAAGAGATGCCCCACAGGGCCATTATCTGGATCAGGCTGTTGCTGTTGGGCTCTCTTTATGGTTGTCTCAATATCCCACTGGAAGGGGGCTACCACCCCCGATGTGGGAAGGATGGGTTCTGGACAGGACTCCCTCTCAGGTGGCTCAAACTGTCTTGAGAGTGCATCTGGCTTGAGATTTTTGAAACCTGGCAATAAGAGAGAATTAAATTAAACCGGTTAAAAAAGACGGCCCAACGGGCATGTCGTGAGTATAACCACTTGGCGCCCCGAATGTAGGTGAGATTTCGATGGTATGTCCAGATGAGGAATTGGTGTTTGGCCCCCTCAAGCCAGTGCCTCCACTCCTCCAGCGCCATCTTAATGGCCAGCAACTCCCGGTTCCCAATGTCATAATTTCTCTGTGTAGGGTTTAGACGACGAGAAAAAAATGCACAGGGATGCAGCCTGTAATCACTGTTATTCTTTTGTGACAAGAGGGAGAATATCAGAATATTCTCCAAGTAAACAAAAACAAATATATTAAGCATCTCTCAGATAAAGGCCTGGAAGACGGCAGGGGCATTAACCAGGCCGAATGGCATTACCTGGTGCTCGTAGTGGCCTGCTGGGGTATTAAACACCGTCTTCCATTCATCCCCCTCTTGAATCCTGACAAGATGGTATGCATTGGATACTGGATACACGTGTCAACTGGATAGCTGTGTCGCTGGCCCTGGGTAATTGTGGCCTGGATTGTCAAGCCTGAGGTCGCGAGCGGGGAATGGTTCCTATTCCCGCCCAGGCCCCCCTACTCCTGGACGAGACTTGGCTTTTCCTGAAAGCTCAGGACAGTCAGCACGAAAATGGCCTGGCTTGCAAGTAGAGGCAGCATCTCTCTCTCTCATCCGCCAATTGCATTCAGCCTGGGATATCTGGGTTCCCCCCCGCTGCATGGGTTCCTCCATGTCACCAAGCGGAGGAGGAGGTCATTTAAAAGTACCGGCGGCCTCAAGTAAACTGGTCTCCCGCTGCCGCTCCAGCTGTCATTCTCTGAGATGATGGTCGACTTGGATAGCTACATCAATGAGGGTCTCGAGATCAGGAGCAGGGTCTCGGAATGCTAACTCATCCTTAAGCTCTGAGGACAAAGCATGGTGGAAGGTCGCTCTTAGAGCTTTTTGATCCCATCTACTCTCAGTCATGAGGGTATGAAACACTATGGCAAACTCAGCTGCGCTCCGGGTCCCTTGAGAGAGATTCAGAAAGCGGTGATCCACATCTCCCCCACTGGCTGGATGTTGGAACACTCTCTTCATCTCCATGATGAAGTGTTGACTGTTTGTGGGAAGTGGAGACTTCTGGTCCCACAAAGCTGAGACCCAGTCAAGCACCTTGTCGGTGAGGAGGGTAATGATGTAGGCCACCTTACTGCTCTCAATGGGAAAACTACTGGCTTGAAGTTGAAAGGCCGGAGTAGACTAGGTAATAAATCCTCTGCATCTCTCAGGGCTTCCATCAAACCGCTCTGGGGTTGGTAATCTGGGCTCAGAAGGGAGTATCACCATGGATATGGGTTGAGGATCAAGAGATTGTTGGGGTTCTCGGGGTGAAGAGGTTTAGGATTGGAGGATTGAAAATTCGAGGATCTGAGACATAGCTTGTTCATGCCGTTGAATGGTTGTGACTTGCTCGGCGAGTTAAACCCAACAGCAGAAGAGCAAAAAGAGCCAAGGAACTTGAGTCTTCAAAAAAATAAAAAATAATCTTTACTAGAGAAACAAACAGATACAAAGTACAAAATAAACAAGGAAAGCTGAGCTTCCATCAAACAGAGGAAACAAAAAACAGACACAAGGGTCCAAAAACCAGACTTAACTTGAGGACAGGCAACTGGATACACGGGAAGAATAGGCTCAAGACTGAACACAATGGCAGGGAACAGACTTATAAATGGCACCATCTGCAGGAGCGGAGAAACTATAGTGCATGATGTAAGCGTCATCTGCATTTCTGGAGGGAACATGACATAAAGGGCTCAAGGAGAGCGACCCCTGCCTGCCAGGATGAAAACAGCAATCCAGAAATGAGTCCATTACATTATCTATCTATCTGTCTGTCCGTCTTTCCGTCCGTCCAGCCATCCATCTGTATTTCTGCCTTTCTATTAATGGAAATTCTGTCACATAACACAGAACTCTAGAACAGGGTCAAAGATTGATTTTTGTTTTAGAAAAGAGGAAAAGGAAAGAAAAAAAAAAAAGGGATCTACAGATTTCTTTGGTTGTATTCTGTCTCTTTTAAAAAATGACATTTTCAAAAGACAAAGACATCAGAAAGAGTCAGGATGCTTTTGAGAAGTCTTGAGGACAGGCAACTGGATACACGGGAAGAATAGGCTCAAGACTGAACACAATGGCAGGGAACAGACTTATAAATGGCACCATCTGCAGGAGCGGAGAAACTATAGTGCATGATGTAAGCGTCATCTGCATTTCTGTAGGGAACATGACATAAAGGGCTCAAGGAGAGCGACCCCTGCCTGCCAGGATGAAAACAGCAATCCAGAAATGAGTCCATTACATTATCGATCTATCTGTCTGTCCGTCTTTCCGTCCGTCCAGCCATCCATCTGTATTTCTGCCTTTCTATTAATGGAAATTCTGTCACATAACACAGAACTCTAGAACAGGGTCAAAGATTGATTTTTGTTTTAGAAAAGAGGAAAAGGAAAGAAAAAAACAACAGGGATCTACAGATTTCTTTGGTTGTATTCTGTCTCTTTTAAAAAATGACATTTTCAAAAGACAAAGACATCAGAAAGAGTCAGGATGCTTTTGAGAAGTTCAAAGTCCAAACAACTTTTTTTCTCCCTTTCTCTATCTTCAGCCCCGCCACCAAACACTCCCCTATACAGACAGAGAGAGAGACAATGTCTCTGTTTCCCACTGAGAATTTCTGAAAACTCAAACAAGTTTCTACACGAGCACCTGCTGCTGTTAATGAGACAACTACCCCACTGCATCTCTCCTTTAACGCAATCGCTATTCCCATCATATCCTTCACACTCGGCCAATAAGAAAACATCTGCACAAAGGTCAGAAACGATCAGACCATCAATTGGAAATACAAAAGATATCATTTACAACCTCATCAAATATCAGGTTCAATCAGGTACTGACATGCATACAACATGCAAGCGGCATGCAAAATATGTGAGGCTTTCCTCTGTGCAGCATCTTTGGAGTTTGATATTGCAGCAGGGATGAATTTTCATTCAGTCAAAGTGATAAGAACATCTAAACCTGAATAAGAAGCAGAACTGAGGATGAACAGGGGTGGGGGTGGGGGGATCCTCACAGTCAGAGAGCAGATAAGCTCGACCAAAGAGCTCCAACCAGGCCAAAAATGGACTGTGTTACTGTACATCTGCATCTGCTTCAGTCAAAACACAGAGCTGTGCAAATACAGACTTGGAGGTTTGGATTACAATACGGATGCTTTTACAGACCCCATCAAATCAAAATGTGAGTTTGTGGCTTTTAGATTTTGTGTATCAATATGCTCGCATACTTTTAAAAGTTGACACCTTTTAGCAGATATATGCATTAAAAATTTACAGTCTTTCTCTTCTGGGAAATGGGCTACAGTATGTTCAGAATGGAGTAATACTTACATTATACTTTGCAGTACATACTATACCATACTATATAAAAAAATAGTAATTTAAGTAGTAAGCGTCAGTTTTTCAGTTTTTTTCTAACATAAGTTAGAAAAATTCCAGGTTTGCTGTACTTGTTTGTAAGACTGCACAATTTGGACAAAATTCTATGATTATGTATAATTATGGCTATAATAATAATAATTATTATTATTATATATATATGTATATATATGTGTGTGTGTGTGTGTGTGTGTGTTTGTTTGTTTGGGTGTATGTATGTATGTATGCAAGTATGCATGTATACAGAAAATGAAGATGTTTTGTAGTCTTTCAAAAAAGTAAAATTCTTAAAAGTCTCTTCTGCTCACCAATACTGCATTTATTGGATCAAACTATGGGGAACGCCTCGGCGTGACCCGTGTCTGAAGCATACATTCAAAACAACAACAACACGTTGGCCGGCAACAGCCTATGACGTCACTACCGGTGCGACCACAGTATAAAGGGTATATGATGAGCTGTTGGAGGTTATGGAACGCGCCACGGCGAGGCTTCACTTGCCGTGGAAGCGGGCCAGGAAGGTGGCACCGCGGGGTCGTCTCGACGAGCAATATCTTTCTGACCATAGCCCCCCAGCTCAAGTGAGCCTTCTATTTCTTCCTGATCTCCATACGGAGATCGAGAAGGAATGGAAGAGGCCGTTTTCCTTTCGCATCTTTAGGTTCCAGCATACAAGCTATGCCAACATTGAGGGGATGCGTGAAAGCGGCTATGAGAGGATGCCCCCTATAGAAGAGATGCTAGCTAGCTATCTCTCTGTGGGTGAGACATCCTCTCTCAAGGCTCCCTCCTTGCCATCTATGCCCCTTCAGGATACATCTCACTTAAATGGCAGGGCATATACAGCAGCAGGTCAGGCTCTCGCTTCGTTGCACATGATGGCGGTGCTTCAGGCGTACCAGGCTGATCTGCTGAAAGACCTGAATAAGGGTGAGGGCCTTTCCCCTGATGAGGTAACTGAGCTGCGCCGCACCACGGATCTTGCTCTCCATGCCACTAAGCAGGCCACCACTGCTATGGGCAGATCTATGGTGGCCATGGTGGTAACGGAGAGACATCTGTGGGTGAACCTGGCAGATATCGGGAGGAAAGAGAAGGGCTTTCTCCTCAATGCTCCGGTTTCGCCTTCCTAACTTTTTGGTACCTCCGTTGAGACGGTGGTCGAGAAGTTTAGGGAGGCGAAGGTATACCCAGCGGCCTTCAAAACCTTCATTCCACAAAGGTCCAGGTCTGAGCCCGAACAATGCAGGGGTCCTGGCCCGTCCCAGTCTGAGGATCAGAGACGGGCACAGAAGGCTAGTGTCGCAACTCGTGCCCCTCCCCCACCTGCGTGTGGGGCTAGGAGGAAGCGCGAGTCAAAGGGAGGTAGACAAGACCTGAGGGAGGTGATCCAGACGAGGCGTTCTCAACGCTCTCATCCGGACCAGAGTAAGACCTGAAACATCTACTCACCTCCCTCAGGGGATTTAACATCTGCCCTCATCTTCCCCTTCCTAATTCCCCTGTAACCACCATCAACTCCACCTGACTGAGGTTAGGAAGGAACCTCCTGCGCCTGCATTGCAGTCTCTCATGCTGGACCTATGATGTTTCTGGTTAGTTCTATGTCTAGCATAGAAACTACCTTACTGATGGTCCGGACCCGAGGCTTTTTCAGACTTCGCTTCCTGAACTGAGCTCATGCGCGGGAAACATGGTGGGTGAGTACGATCCATTTCAAATCTGTTTGCTGATTGTTGTGTGAATCCTTCTGCTAGTCTTCTTTGCAGTGTTTCCGGGACCTGTCTGTTGTGTTTCTGACCTTTTTTAGGGTAGGTCCTCGGTGAGCACCACCTCTGCTGGACTCAGAACCCTTGCTATCGACTCTTTACAGTGATGACCTCACTCGTCGATACTGGATCCAGACTGGATGATAGCCCTGTTCTCGGCTTCATGCCTCCTGGATCATGTGGCAAAGTGATTAGGCTTCTGTGGGAGTCTTCTTGGTCATCAGGTCCCCAGTACAGCACTGCAATCCCAGGACCTGCGGGTCCTTCCTTCTGGTGAGCTTTCCAGAGTGTATGCTTTGCGAGATGCCCCCCTGGACGTCCTGGCTGGGTTTTTGCCTCAAGAGGCTGCCCCGACTGGGACGCCATACCCATGTCTCGCCCCGAGGGGCTTCCTGTTTCTGGATATCCTTTTTTCTCTGAGTGGAGCTCCTCTCGCTAAGGCGTTGAGCGGCTTTACTCCCTAACTCCACTCTGCAGTCTGCTAGTTGCATCGCACTGCCCTCATGGTGAACCAGTGAGTCACCCCTCCGTGGAGTGGGTTTGAGTACACTGGTTTCCCTGAGGTATCAGTGAGGGGTGTTTCTGCGGAAACCCTTCCTGAGGGCTCTGGCTCTGAGGAGTAACAGCTCTCCATGCATGATTTGGGCCCCGTTGTTTCCAGGCTCTGCGGGTCTGGTTAAAACGGGGCCCATGCTCTCTATCGGGGTAGAGAGCACAAGGTTGGATTGGGTTGACAATGCTGCCTCCCTGGTGAGCTGTCTTTAATCTAGCCAGCATTGCTCTCCTCACTGTAAAGGGTCATCTATGAGCATGCTGCTCCCTTCCGAGCATCCGAGTTCCCTCCCCTCCGGAGGAGTTGAATTCCCCGCTCCATGGGCTGTTCTCATGGTGGGCTTTAGCAGTGCTCCCCTCATTCCAGAGGGTCGCCTATGAGCACGCTACCCCTCTCTGAGGGTTCTGAGTTCTCCTCTGACCTTGAGGGCTGAGTTCTCTGTTTCCCAGAGCTCCTTGAACCAGCAACATCAGGCTACTAGGCTCCTTCCTCACTAGGCTACTAGGCATTTCTATCCATGTGCGCTTTGTGTATGCTATGGACTGCTCCCTCAGAGTGCCACGGTCACATAGGGTCTCTAGGCCTGTCTAGTAAACAGCCTCTATGACCCCTTAGTAACGGTATCCCTAAAATCCATGTTATGGTAAGTGCGCACGCTTAGTCTCTGTGCACTTTCTAAAATCCACGCTGTGGTAAGGACGCACATCAAGCATTTTGCGTTCTTTCTAAAATCCTGAATGGTAGGGGTTACGTGCTGTGGCTTAGTGCCCTTTCTTTGAGTCGGTCAGACCCCGGTTTCACCTTGGGCACCACTCTACCTATGTATCCCCAGTGATACCTACTTGAACAGGGTGTTGCTACTAAGGGTCTGTTGAGACAGTTCCTTCAGCGAGCTCATGCAGAGCAAGCGGTAGCCCCTGGGTGACAGGCCAAGACCTAGTTACAATCCTAGGCACTTGGTCATATCCCCTTAAAGGAATCTCTTCTTCTGATTCCAAGCTTTTGAGCTCTATCCTGGGTCCAGGAGGCCTGGCCCCTAACAGGTAAGTTTCTGGAGTATGTAGCTCAGGCCTTTGGCCGAAAGGGATAATGTCACTGACAGCCGTCGAACCGTCCCTGGGGCAACTCCCTTAAGCTTTGGTAGAGTTGGTATTTAGTGCTCGCCTTTGTGCTTGGCATGCACTCCCCTCAGCATGGTGGCGTGGGTATACCGTTTCCCATAGCGGCCCCTAGAGGACGCAGTTCAAAGTTCCCTCGAAAGGGAACGTCTCAGGTTACGTATGTAACCATGGTTCCCTGAGAAGGGAACGAGACACTGCGTCCTCTAGTTTCCTTGCCATTCTTCAGACGCAAGCTTCAGACGAAGAAGCGGATGACGTATTCTCCCGGCATCCCTTTATACTGCGGTCGCACCGGTAGTGACGTCATAGGCTGTCGCCGGCCAACGTGTTGTGGTTGTTTTGAATGTATGCTTCAGACACGAGTCACGCCGAGGCGTTCCCCATAGCGACCCCTAGAGGACGCAGTGTCTCGTTCCCTTCTCAGGGAACCATGGTTAGATACGTAACCTGAGACGTTTTAATGCTACTTATAATGTATATTTTATTTGTAATATTTCATTAATATTATTAATATTTTTTATTTTTATTATTTAAGTTTATTTTACATATTAGTAATTTGTTATGATTGTAATAATTTTTTTTTTTCTATTTCCTATTTATTTCTATTTTTATTTCTGTTTTAGTAATTTTAGTACTTCATTTTATTTATTTATTTAGTACTTCATCAAATTATTAAAACTTAGAAATTAACTTAAGTTTTTTTTTAAGTTTAAGTTTTACATCTGATATTTTAATTAATATTTATTTAAATGAATGAAAATTATTTTTAATAGTTTTAGTTAATGACAACAACACTGAAACTACTACCCCAATAATAATAATTATCAATTAAAATTTTGCTGCAATTTAGGTCAGATTTTTGCAGTGATGTACAGTATGTCTTCAGCCACTAGCTATATATATATATATACACTGTATATATATATATATATTAGTGCTGGGCAACGATTAAAATATTCTGTCGTGATTAATCGCATGGTTTTCTGTGATTAATCGCGATTAATCGCATTGTTATGCACTAGGGATGGGCGATATCTTATCGCTTGCGATATACTGGTAAAAATTCTCCCCACGATAAGAATTAGTCTTCCCGCAATAAAAACGATAAAGTCTAGTTGTTGACATATTTCTGTGTGCGACAGTGCGGCGTGACATCGCGGAAGGCGGACGTGAAATTGAGGAGGATTAGCCTATATCGCTAAATGAGGAGCTTGAGCTCCTTTTACAATCTGTAACTGGTTTGGTTAGGGCTGTACAGTGCACAAAAAATCGGTCTGAATAAATGTACTACAGTAGCACATGTGCGATACAGTTTTGCATGTGTATGAGCCTGTTTACAAACCTGTTGTCCAACAAAGATATAATTTATTGACATGCTTTTTCTCCAAATTAACTTAATAACATAGTCGAGTGTTTGAAATACTTCTTTTTGTGACCAGACGTGGTTTCATATTACAGAATGATAGTATTATATACAGTGATAAAGGCCATGTCGATTAACATTGCATTATAAATATACTTTCCTTATAAAAAAGCTATGCTCAGAGTCCAGAGCCTCGATCATAACATTATAACAGGCAGCTTCCGAGTAGAGACCTGCACTATCGCGGGATCTAACCTGTTTTTTTTTACAGTCTATGGACCTAACGCAGCAGAGTGCGGCGTGGGACAACACTTGACGGGCGAGTGCGGGTGCGGGCGGGTAGAGACTCATGTGTGCGGGATGCGGGAGAATAGGGTGTATCACACTAGGCAAGCTTAACCGTGCCCGAGCGCATCTGACCCCCAAAGCCCGGGTTCGTTTGACTAGTGTGATCGCTCTGTGCTGCGGTTTGTTTAGCCGGCCTTGGCTCAGTTGGAAGAGGTGGGCCAGAGCGCGGTTCACTTGGGCTCGGGCTCGGGCTCGG